TGTAATTTTATATATAGCCATCTCTATCAATATAAAAATCTATAAATGTAGATATATGCAGTATGTAAACATTCATGTGTATATTCCTAAAAGAACTTTTTGAAAGGTAACTATGACCTAATTACCACACCAAAAATTTAGCAATTATTTTTTTAATATCAAATACTCAAGCAAATTTTATTTAATTTCAGTATCATCTTACTTTCCGTAGGTGGTCTATCTGCATCAGAATTTTTTTGAAAGAAGTTTTTATTAGCAAATGCTAATTTATATAATGTTTCATTATAATCTTTTCATGTATGTATATAATATATTTTGATCATACTCACCCCCATTACCCTTTCTTACCCCTTCCCATTCCCACTCACCTAGCCTCTTTCCAACTAGTTGTCCCCTTCTACTTTCATGTTTTTATTTTTTTATATTTTTTGTAAAGTAGTGAGTTTAGTTAGGGTTACTTACAGTAACACACATGAGGAGTTATTTATAGAAGTATGGACAATTTACCAGTGGCTGCACAAGTGAAGACAATGTCTCTCCCTCCCTCTCTCAGAAAGCCACAACTTCTTATAGATCTTCAGTGAGGAGAATCAGGGCCTCGTGAGCAAGTTCCACTCTGTGATGGAACATTGATGGGACTGACCTTGTCAAAGCCTTGTAAGGTAGTCTCAACTGCTGGGAATTCAAAAGGGCAAACTCTGTCATGTCTGAAAGACAGGGCCCCACAACACTCTACTATTTTTCTTCCTCTTACATTATTTCTACTACCTCTTCCACAGTGTTCTCTGAGCCTTGGAAGAAGTGATATTGAAGTTCCATTGAAGATTGGTTCATTGGTTACTTATTCTCAGCATTTTATGAGTCTTTGCATCTACTATAAAAACAAGCTTCTCCAACTAAAGCTTATAGCAGCAGTAATCTGTGAACATAAACATAAATATTTAGGAGGCAATTTGACAGGTACACTATGCTGGTTTAGCAAGCAACACTAGTAGCTTCTCCAATAGGAACAATGACCTCTCCAGCCTCAGGATTTTGATGGAGTTTATAGTTCTAGGCATGACTTCCTTCCTATGGAGTGGGCTCGAATCCAAGCAGAAAGTGGTTGTTTACTCCATAACAGTTATGCCACTATTGCACCAATAAGTGCACTTTGCCTGGAAGATTAGCAATGTAGGGGGTCACAACTGAATAAGATTATTGATGACAATTCTCTTCCAGTAGCCTGCATAGCTCCTTCTGTCAGGAAAACTAGCCACTAATAAGAAGCTTCCAGCTCAGTTTCAACTTGATTTCTTTATGTTCTACAACAAGCATACAGCGCTCTCAGCAGTAACCCTCAGCAGCTAGTTCTGCTGAGCAAGCAAGGACAGTGACTCAGGATCTTTTCATAGGTTCCTATGTTTCTATTGTTTGGGTTACCTTCTTAACACTTTTAATCCCCAGGCTTTTTCTAGTGCTTTTTATCTTGCTGTGGTACTTGTATTAGAGTTCTCTAGAGGAACAGAACTGATTAAATAACAGAGTGGTGTATAGGCTGCAGTCCAGCTAGTCCAACAATGGCTGCTTACCAATGGAAAGGCCAAGAATTCAATAGTTGTTTAGTTCACAGGTCTGGATGTCTCAGCTGGTCTTTAGTAAATATCAGAATCTGGAAGAAGTAGGTGCTCATATCAGTGACAGAATGTATTTGTCAGGGAGTGAGGGCAAGTGAGCAAAGAGCAAGTACTTCCTTCTTCCATGTCCTTCATAAAAGCTGCCATCAGAAGATGTGGCTCAGGTACTGCAGTTGTGGCGTGCGCCTTTAATCCCAGCAGAGGTAGAGGCAGGGGGGTCTCTAAGTTCGAGTCCAGCCTGGTCTACAGAGTAAGTTCTAGGATGGCCAAGGCTACAAAGAGAAATCCTTTCTTGAAAACAAACAAACAAAAATCCAAACAGAAAATGCAGCTCACATTTAAGGTGGATCTTCTCACATGAAATGATCCAGATTTAGGGTGGGTCTTCCCACCTCAAATGATCTAGATTTAGGGTGGATCTTCCCATCTTGAATGATCCAGATTTACAGTGAGTCTTTCCACCTGAAATGATTCAATGAGGAAAAATTCTTCATAGGTGTGCTCAGCAGGTTGGGGTTTAGGTAATTCCGAATTAGCCAAGTCGATAAACAAAAATAGCCATCACAGTATTTATTTGTTGACAAAAGTAGATGCTTTCCCAAGAGAGGTTCCCACAGTCTAGCTTTTGCCTATTACTTCCCTGTATATTTAACACATTCTTCTACCATTTGTATTTCTGTCATGTGGATAGCTAGATCTAAGGTTAGTTTTGAGTTTAGGACAGAAATACCTCACAGATTGTGATGTGTCACTCATTCTTCTCCCTTTTAGCCAGAAACAAACTTGACTATTATGTCAACCCACTAGTTCTCTGTGTATTTCCAAAATGGTGATATTCCAATTCCACCACAGCTTCTGATAGTCTAGGTTGAACCTTTCTCTGAAAAAGTAACTTGTCTCATCAACATTTAGCTTCCTTGCAGTACAGTGGGCACAGGATAGACTCATACCTCTTTTTTCTCTCAAGGCAGGGTTTTTCTGTGTAGCCTTAGCTGTCCTGGAACTCACTCTGTAGACCAGGGTGGCCTCAAACTCATAGAGATCTGCCTACCTCTACCTCCCAAGTGCTGGGATTAAAGGCATGAGCCACTATCTCCTGGCTCAGTCCCAACCTTCTATTTTTTAATTCATTTTAATAACTTTAATTTTGAAATAATCTTTGGGGGAGTACATAATGTTGTTCAGGCTGTTCTTAAACACACCATGGAGCTGCTCCTGGCCTTGAACTCATAATCCTCCTGTCTGTATGCTTGGATTACAGGCATGTGCCACAACACATGGCATCATTTGGTTTAAACTTTTTTTTTTTTTTTTTTGTCTCTTGAGACAGGGTCTCATTGTGTAGCCCTACTTGGCTTGGAACTCACTGTGGAGACCAGACTAGCCTTGAGTTCACAGAGCTCTGCCTTCTTCTGCCTCCACAGTGCTGGGACTAAAGGTGTATGCTACCATACTCTGCCTCATAACTTGCCTTTTATTAGTTGTGTAACCAGTACAGATAATGTTCACACTTTTCACCCGTACGTACTGGCTATCAGTAACTCAGCTGTCCTCTCTTTAGTACTCCCCTTTTCATCAGTTTTTCAGTCTGACTTCTTTTGTTTGTGACAGGAGTCATCCTACTTCATTCTTTTTTATTTTTCATTTTTCGAGACAGGGTTTCTCTGTGTGGCCCTGGTTGTCTCAGAACTCGCTCTGTAGTCCAGACTGTTTTCCACTATGCACCTTTTTGAAATATAGAACATCTATTATTGTTCTTTAAAATGAAATTGCCAGCCTTAGTGGTTCATTCACACCTATAATCTTAGCATTTAAGAAGCTGAAGCAAGCTGCGTGGTGGTGACACATGCCTTTTGAGAGGTAGAGTCAGGCAGGTCTCTGAGTAAAAGGTCAGTCTTGTTTAGGACAGCCAGGACTACACAGAAAAACTGTCTCAAAAAATAAAAACCAAATTGACAGAGGGGGGGAGATAGATAGATAGATAGATAGATAGATAGATAGATAGATAGATAGATATGAAATAGGAGGCTGGGCTGTGGTGGTACACACCTTTGATCCCAGCACTTGGGAGGCACACAGATACATGGTTAGAGAAATAGCTGGAGTTGGATGGACTGGGCTCTCTGATGATGAAACTGCAGCACCCAGGAAGCTCACTGTGTTTGTTATATACAGTTGAACAGAGAGGTAGGTTATTGAATGCAGCTGAACCAGGAGGCAGGGTTATTATACACAGATAACCAAGGAAACAGGATTTATGATATGCAGCTGGATCAAGGAGCATACAAGCTTAGGTAATCTTGGTAGGCATAGTATCTTTAGAGAGCAGTCTTATTGCCATTTTCTCATGAGGCTGAGGCTTTGGGGGTCCTTGGCATGCCTGTGTCCATGTCAGCAGCAGTTCACTCAGAAAGTCACTTACTCGGGATTCTCCATTCCCCATAAATAATAAGTTTTATGTTTTGTATATCATACCACTATTAAATGTAAAAAATAAATTTCACTAATTTTTCATAATGTATATGATCAATCTTTTATAGACAATCATTTAGTTTTTTTTTTTTCTCTTATTACTACTTCAGGAAATGTCACAATCAATAATCTTTGAGATTTCTTTATAACCTATTAGAACTTTATAGAAGTAAGTGTGTCATATATTGTCATTCTTTCAGGGGTCAAGTCCTTCCTGCTCACACACTTCTGAACACAGTAGATGTTGAACTTATCTATGAAGGAATCAAATATGTACTTAAGGTATGCAATCCCAACCAAAGTCTACACCTTAGTTTCTATCTTCTCTTCTTAAAACTAGTTTTCTTAAGTTGAGAGACAGAGAAAGTTTGCTTTTGTTCACAGATTAGAATATTCCCGTCATTATTTCTGTCAGTTTTTAGGAATCAGTATTTGACAATTCTGTGAAAATCTAGTTATTTCTCACCTTGACATACTTCCAATAGATAATGAAGAGGCAGGGAATAGCTGGAACAGAGAAAAGCAGCTGAAGTTACCCCTGTTTGCTTGTAACAGGACTGTCACCAGCCAGACACACTGGTGTAAGCAACACTATTGTCATCATCTTGACAGACTTCTTAACCTGTATCATTGAAATGCTACAGTTGTATCTCAGGCTGTTCTTGGAAGGGATCACTGGCTTGTCTTTCTGGTTTTCATTTACTGTAGGTGACTCGACAGTCTCCCAACTCTTATGTGGTGATCATGAACGGCTCCTGTGTGGAAGTCGATGTGCATCGGCTGAGTGATGGTGGATTGCTCTTATCCTATGATGGCAGCAGTTACACCACTTACATGAAGGAGGAAGTGGACAGGTGAGTGACTGAGGTCTAGTTGCTTGCCATTGTATTAACTTCTCCTCTTATATTCTTATAGCTCTTGGGATTTTTTCCAGGAGTGCAAAAGTATTTATAATTGTATGCATGTCTATAATGTAAACATGTCTGTAATTATAAACATGTCTCAGATTGGGTGTTGTGTTCTGTGTCTATTGTTTCAGCTACTCAAAAGGCAGAGTCCTTTCCTCCTTGAGGGAAGGAGTTTAAGGCCAGCATATGTAATTTAGTGAGATCTTGTTTCTTAAGGAGAGAAAACATGTTTCCCTACCACGCCAATGTGATGGACAGTGAAAAGTAATTTATCCTTGAAATAAAATATAATAGTTGATCATTTCTTGTATATTTATTAGAATTTATATAATATAAAATTACTTAAAGGTACACACTATTTTTCCTTTGAATATATCCATAAATGAGTATCTGTTAACTGCTATTTGCACTTTTTTTTTTTAAGGTTTATTTATTATGTGTACAGTGTTCTGCCTGCAGACCAGAAGAGGGCACCAGATCTCATTATGGTAGTGAGCCACCATGTGGTTGCTGGGAATTGAACTCTGGACCTCTGGAAAAGCAGCCAGTGCTCTAAATCACTGAGCCATCTTTCAGCCCTTTCCTTTCTTTTTATTTATTTTATTTATTTTTTATTTGAATTACAAACAATGTGGTTGCTGGGAATTGAACTCTGGACCTCTGGAAAAGCAGCCAGTGCTCTAAAGCCAATGCTCTAAACCACTGAGCCATCTTTCAGCCCTTTCCTTTCTTTTTATTTATTTTATTTATTTTTTATTTGAATTACAAACAATGTGGTTGCTGGGAATTGAACTCTGGACCTCTGGAAAGACAGCCAGTGCTCTAAAGCCAATGCTCTAAACCACTGAGCCATCTTTCAGCCCTTTCCTTTCTTTTTAATTTTTTTATTTATTTTTTATTTGACTTACAAACAAGATTGAATTACATGACAATCCCAGTTCCCTTCTCCCGCCCTTCCTTCCCTACTACCCTCCAATCTTTCCTTTATTTTTAAAATAAATATTTATTTTATGTAGTTTATATGTGCCTGAGTATATGTATGTGTACTGTGTGTGTGCAAGAGCCATCAGAGATCAGAAGGAGGAGTTGGGTCTCCTAGAACTGGAGTTGCAGGTAGTTGTGAGCCACCATGTGGATGCTGGGAATTTATCCCCAGTCCTTTGCAAGAACATGCAGTATTCTTATCTCTACCTCCTACCCCTACTCCTGCCCCAGTCTCATAGCTCAGGTCTTGCTGTGTAGAGAATGATTTTGAATTTATTTATGATCTTTTTGCTTCTACCTTCTGAGTGTTGAGGTTATCAATATACATCACCACACCTGATTGATGTGGTCCTTGGGGTTTAACCCAGAGCTTCATGCTTACTGGGCAAGCACTGTACCAACTGAGCTACATTCTCAACTCTCTGCATTTCTCTCTTTCTTTTTTTGATAGTGTACCACACCAGTTATATTAGTGTAAGAACTGAATGAATCAATCCACTTGAAATGCTTAAAATAGTACCTACAATATAGTTATCATTCCACAAATGTTAGTTATAACTGAGCTTGGTTTTTCATGCCTTTAACTCTAGCATTGAGGAAGCTGAAGAGGACTGAGGCCAGACTCGGGTACATAGTGATGTCCTTTCAGAGAAAGAAATAGAGAGGAAGGGGAGAGAGAGAAAAAGGAAGAACAGGGTATTCGTTATTATATTATCATAATCGTTGCTTTTTAGTTTATGTTGTATTCATATATATGAATATATTGTAATTTATTGAGTCTATCTTTTTGGGGGGCAGGGGGAGGATGGTTTCAAGAGAGGGTTTCTCTGTACCTATGGAGCCTGTCCGGAACTTGCTGAATGGACCAGGCTGGCCTCAGACTCACAGAGATCTGCCTGCCTCTGCCTCCCAAGTTTTGGCATTAAAGGTGTGCACCACTACCGTCTGTCATTCTAACTCTTAACAGAAGATTGTTACTAAAACTTAAATAAGGACCAGCAAAATAGCTAGACAGATAAAGGCACTTGTTGCCAATCCTGACACCTAAGTTTAATACCTGAGACCCACATGGTAGACAGAAAGAACCCACTTCTGTAAGTTGTCCTCTGACCTCCATAAATGCACATGCCCACACATGGTACAATTACATGTAAACTAAATAAATAAATATGTAATTTAAAAATTATAAACAGGTACAGCCAATGCCTTGCTTATATGTCTGCATTGTGTATATGATAACATTTTCTGTTTTTTTTCTCTCACTTTGTTTTATAACCCGAGTGCTTTATTGGCTTGCCTGTTCTACTTATCTCCTAGATACCGAATCACAATTGGCAATAAAACCTGTGTGTTTGAGAAGGAAAATGACCCATCTGTAATGCGCTCACCTTCTGCTGGGAAGTTAATCCAGTATATTGTGGAAGATGGAGGCCATGTGTTTGCTGGCCAGTGCTATGCTGAGATTGAGGTCAGGGTGGATCATGGGAGGGAACATAGGTTGGTGCGAATAGACTCGGATTGAAAGTAACAGAGAGGAAGAACATCAGTTAATTTAGTGTGGACTAAGATTTACAAACAAAACCCCCACCATTTTCCTTTGACAGATGAAGAAACTTGAGCTTTGAAAATATATTAGCAAGAGTACTTAGTGGCAGGTACTATGCTAACTGCAGGCTACACAGAGAGCATACTAGGGAGAGCTGGGCTTAAAGCAGATGAATAATGATGACTTCTAAGAATAAGAGGATCACCTAGTCCTAAGTGAGATAGGTGTGAGGTAACTAAATACATCCTAAAAGAAGAGATGCTTGCCTGGTCTTACTGTTGAAATGATAGATAGCCGGTGAAGATGGATAGGAGAGAGCGCTTTGACACCGAGGCACAGAAACAAGTCAGTGTGTTGTAGTAGAATTGATTGAGAAATGATTTGGGTTTAATGTGGAGTGGCAGGGAAAGATGCCATAGAAGCCATAGGAGCCGATGACTGTCCTGAAGCCCACAGGGAATCATTGAAGGATTTTAAGTGGAAAAATGGCATGAGATTTAGGCTCTAGAGTGATGGTTTGAGTGAACCTTATTGGAGGTAAATGCCATGAAGGGACAGACATTTCATAGTAGATTTTTAAAAACCAGTCTAGTGGGGTTGGAGAGATAGCTCAGTGATTAAAAGCTTTGGCTGCTGTTCCAGAGGACCCAGGTTCAATTACCAGCACCCATATGGCAGCTCACAACTGTTAGTAACTGCAGTTGCAGGGGATCTGTCTGACACCCTCACACAGACAAATGTCCACATAAAATAAATAAATAAAAAGGCCCCCCCCCCAAAAAAGTGCTCTAGTGTACTGTAGGCCTGAAATGAATGGCCTAGCATAGAGACGCTGCAAGCAAAGATGTTTGTTCTAGATTTAGAAGTTGTACTTACTGGGCTGGTGACCGGGAGGTAAAGGATAAAGGTATAGGAAATGCTGCGATGATGAAGACAGATTGTCCATCACTTCTAAATATAAGACAAGTAAATTCACAAACAATAGCAAAATGTTATTAAAGCTAGAAAATTGCCAGTGTGGTAATATAATCCCCATACTTAGTTGGGGGGGGGCAGGAGTTCAGAGTCATCCTCAGCTACATATCAAGCTTACAAAGCTACATAGACAGCTTTTGGCTCAACAGACCATGAAAACAGCAACCCACCCCCCCAAATCCAAAAGCAAAACAGGAGTGATCTACTATTAACCCTCAGATACAGTTCTAAGAAATTGACCAATTGCCTGCCTTAATACTTCACTGATAAGATTCCCATTTTTGGAGGGTGAAACTAAGTGTATTCCAACTTAGATGTTAAAGGGGAAAACTGACCTTTAAAGTATTATGTATTCATTTATAGGTAATGAAGATGGTGATGACTTTAACAGCCGTAGAGTCAGGCTGCATTCATTATGTCAAGCGACCTGGAGCAGCTCTTGACCCTGGCTGTGTGATAGCCAAAATGCAGCTGGACAACCCCAGTAAAGTCCAACAGGTAAGGAGGAAGGCACTAGGATATGGCGCCAAGAGCGGAAAACACAGGAATTTGGAGGTGCTTGATTTGACAGTTCCCTCTCCTCTCCCATTCTTTCCTTCCGTCCCTCCCTCCCTCCCTCCTCCCTCCCTCCTTCCCTCCTCCCTCCCCCTTTTTGCATTTGTGTGTGTGTGTGTGTGTGTGTGTGTGTGTGTGTGTGTGTGTGTGTGTGTGTGGTGTTGTGGGT